TACTCATTTCGTATCTTATCCATTCGTGTTACCCCACACATCCATCTTAACATTCGCATTTCTGTCACATGTAGTCTCCTTTCATCCGTTCCTTTTTCTACCCAGCATTCAGATCCATAATCATGACAGGTCTTAAGACGGTCTTGCAAATTTTCCCAAATTTTTTTTTTTACATCTTTGCCAATTTTTATCGAGATCCGTTTAGCCGTTTAGGATGCGACTGTAACAAACATTCATATCAACTTTTGCATTTACAATAGTAAGGTTACCAGATAAAGATTTGTGATTGTATGTCAGTTGAACTGTATAGTTTATGTTTTGCTCACGGCCAGTTTTATCAGAACATTTCGAGGTAACGGGCTTTAAAAGTCACAGTTTTTTTTCGTTCGAACATTAAAAAAAACAAGAATAACTATTACGTTTTCGTATCACGTAATGTAACGGTTAATTCTTGATTCTGACATAACAATTATTTGTTCCAGCAAACTGGCTGTGTACAACTGTGGAACCAGTTCGATAAATCCCATCCATTTGGACGAAATATTTAAATTTTTCAACAAAGCGAATATCAAGTTTACTTCAAGTAAGTATATTTGTTATCTACACTATCTATACTTATTATAATAAAGCGTAAACACACACTTCTTTGTTGCCTAAGATGTCAGCAATTACAGCATATTTTTGAACAATTCTTTTTTTAATAAAAAGTCCTACACTTTCGTCACGCTTTAGGCTATATATTTTCACGCAATTGAACTTAGGGGGTAAATATTTTGGATAAAAACCCTAATGTGGGAAAGAGACCATAAGTTGCTGCCAACATCAAGGAAGCAAAATTGCATGCTTTGTTATCATGTCATGTTTGTTATTTTTACATTTGGAATTGAATTTGACAAATGTAATCAATAAAACAATTTTTACTATTTCATGCGAATGAAGTCTCACGGGAACAGCTAGTTGTAGAAATAAGATGAAATAATTTCAGTTAGTAAAAAAATTTACCTGTCTAATTTGTGGTGGGTAGACAATTTTGCGATATCGCACAACCGTTGTGCGATTGTCAATTATTTAGCCAATACAACTGTTTAGTTGCACAACTAAAAGACAGTAGTGTGCATCTCCATATAAGCTCATAGGAATCAAAGCGCGACTAAACAGTTGTGCGATAGTTTAGTAGTTTAGTTTAGTAGTAGTAGGTTTAAATAATTCATCTTTCTTATCATATAGTGTTTTTTTTTCTAAACTCTGATTATTATTATGTTTCAGATGACTCGAGATTTCCTAAATGTTTTGTTGTAGAATCAAAATTAACACGTGATATTGTAACATTTATAACACAATTACTGCCTGCGTATATTTATGATATTTTGCTTACATTAAAAGGAGATCGACCAAGGTATTTTATAACATCTATTCTAATATCATAAAGAAGAGAGATTTGTATTATACTTATATTATTTTTGTATGAATTGAAATAACTCAAAAACTTTTGGGCCGATTTCAAATATTCTTTTACCATTAAAAGCTACGTTATCAGAGTAACACAGGCTATATCTTACTAATATTATAAATGCGAAAGTTTAGATGGATGGATGTTTGTTTGAGTTTGCAGTCTAAACGGCTGAACGGATCTTGGTGAAATTTGGCATAAACTTAAAGGATAGTCTGGAAGAACATATAGGCTATATACTTTTGTTTTTTTTTTAATTCCACGCGGATGGAGTCGCGCGCGAAAGCTAGTTTTTTCATAAATTTAACGCTGTCGATGTCGCGAGCAACAAGTAGTTATTACAAGAACATAACTTCGTAAGTTTTCGTTTCATTACAATCTTCCAACTTTCTTTTGAGCTACTCATTAGTGTTTAAATTATTTATTTGTAAGAAGTGGCGGAGTTTATCTCGTTGTAAGGAACTAGGCTTTTTTATTGTAAACACAACACCGCGGATTCTCTCAACTGTACATTCGCAGAGGGAAACATGCTATGTACACTCTAGATGTAAGTCTTTACAAGTTACCGTTATACCAAACATTACCTAAATATTTAATACTAGTTGTTACCTGCGACTTTGGCCAAACAAAATTAAGATAAAAGTAACCAATAATAAGCCCGTCTATGTCTACCGTTCAGTGAAAGTCCGGTCGAAATAGGCCCCTGTTGCGAAGATTACCCGGAACAAACGCGGCTTGCGAACTGACATAAAGACAAAAATTTATTGAATGCGTCTTTCGTTATTAGCAACGCAAATACATCATCTTGATATTAGAGACACTTCTTTTTATGTTTATTTGGTTATTTACTTGAAACTATACTTACGGTAAGTTTCTTTACAGATACGTGAAACTGCAGAAGAAATTCATATGGACCCGAAACAAATACGAATACTTTAATAGAAACTCTTGGATATTCAAAACTGACAAACTTCTAAACATTTACAAGAATATATCAGAAAAAGATAGATTGGATTTTCCCTTTGATATGTATAACATCAATTGGTCCGAGTATATGACTACATACGCTAAAGCTGTACAACAGTTTTTAAAACAAAAGAATGCCTTAAAAATGAATGCCAACAACATAACTCACAGCCGTGACTTACAGGGGTAAGCAGAGACAATGGACTTCGATTAACAAGCACCACCTCTTCCACATTTAACACAAGTTTCAAGTACTCTTTATCCTTTCTTGAATATTTTTCAAATCTAGATAGTACGCGTTTGTTAAAACCGACGCCTATCAACACTACAATGCAATTTTGTTTCTTTACCCGTCATTAAAAACAACTATGTAAGAGATGGTCAAGAAATTGTTAAAATCTGCACAATCTACATATCTAGTGTATGGAAGATTGTAAAATTGTTATTTATATTTAGAATAGATATATTCAGATTATATACTTCTATATTTTATATTTAGAACTAGCTGTTCGCGTGCGGATTCATCCGCGTGAAATTAAAAAAAAAATTTCACTGTTTACATTTATTTATCAATAGCAAATGTCAAAATGACATGACATGATGACAAAGAATGGCAATCTTGCTTCCTTGATGTTGGCAACAAATTATGGTCTCTTTCCCACATTACGGTTTTTATCCAAAATATTTACCCTCTAAGTTTAATTGCGTGAAAATATATAGCCTAAAGCGAGACGTAAGTGTAGGGTTTTTCATTAAAAAAAGAATTATTCAAAAATATGCTGTAATTGCCGACATCTTAGGAAACAAAAAAGTGTGTGTTTACGCTTTATTATAATAGTATAGATAGATAGAATAAGACCTTGGACTAAACTATCGCACAACTGTTGTGCGATTGTCAATTGTTTCGCAGCCTCAACAATTTAATTGCACAACTAAAAATCTAGCAGTGCACCTTCGTATAAGATCATAGGAATCAAAGTGAGACTAAACAGTTGTTCGATAGTTTATTCAAATGTGTGCGCTGTTAAAGTTATTCATAAATACGAGTACATACTAAGTAGACAAAGTTAATTTGTAATATAAATAAAATATGTATTGTGTTGATAAAAACTCTTACTTGGGCAATAATCACTTGTTCGCGAAAGAATCGTGATGTAGATAAAACAAAGACATTCAAATATATATTAATAGACAGGACAACACAAACTAAACTGTATTTCACGACAACTACGATACAATAAGTGCGATTCCGTCACTCGTATTTTAAATATTAATTTAATTCGAACTTAAAATTAAGTAATTTGTGATGTAGCTTTTCCCCGCAACTCTGCGTGGAATTAAAAAAACTTAAGAAGAACACATCTTCCAGACTATGTTCTACATCTTTGCCAAATTTCATCCAAACATATATAGTCGTCGGATGCGGAAGGCGGAGGAACACATTCTGTGGAAGACATTGGGAAAGACCTATGCCCAGCTGTGGGCAGCCAAAGGCTGATGATATATAGTCGTTCTGTAATTACATCACATCAATCAAGCACTCGAGCATTCAAGCATTAGAGCGTGCGGTGTCTCAGTGATTTAAGCACTTGACTTGTAATCTACAGGTCTTGGATTCGAATTACGCTGTACCAATGTGATTTTCGATTTTTCGAATTTTCTTATGTACACAATTTACCCGACGTTCTTACAGTGAAGGAAAACATCGTGATACAACCTGCACATATCGGCGAAGAAATTCAAAGATATGTGTGAAGTCGACCAACTCGCACTTGGCCAGCGTGGTTGACTATGGCCTAATCACCCTAATTTAGGGTAGGCTCCGAGCCCCTCAGTGGGGACATATAGTGAGCTGGTGATGATGATGATGAATCAATCATTCCCATTTACGTTATAGAATGAAGTACAGTATCTTCAGTTGTAACATATTTTGTTAATGAAAGAACATCAAATAAACATTTTTTTTATTTCCAAATAATATTTCCCAGTCGTTCACATATATATTGCTACTTTTTAACGTTCAAATATTTATAAATTCCTTTGAAATAATTTTCGAAATACTCATCCCAAGATACATTTTTTGGATCAAACGGGAACTGTCGTTGATCTTGTTGTGATAATGTCACGTACAAGCTTCGCGTCTGTTCTGTTCTCCAGAAGAACGACATCGACGTTAACTTCTTGAGCAGATCTCGACGTACTATCGCTGGTTTTAGTTCTTTTACATATCTAGAAAAGGCAACTGTTAAAATAAACCACTCCACTAACTTACTACGACTAGAACCAAGATAGGAACTACACCTCTCACATCGAAATAGGCAAATCGTTTAACGGAAAGTAAATAACTAAAATAATAATTAGATTTTTTCGATCCCTTATTAATCTCACTAATATTATAAATGTGAAAGTTTAGATGGATGGATGTAGCCCAAAAGGCTGAACGAATCTCGATGAAATTTCGCTAAGGCGTAGAGGATAATCTCGAAGAACACATGGAATCGCGGGCGAAAGCCAGTTCAAAATAAATTAAAAAAAACTCAAGTATCTCATTCATAATTGGAAATCACAGCTTCTAATATTAAATCTTTTTCTATGTCAATTTCTAGAAAAGGTCTGCCGTAATAATTACCGCGGTTCCATTCCTCGACATCGCAACCAGAAATCGGCTACATGAGCTGGCACCATTTGGTATAATAGACACACAATTGACACCATCCAAGGTGACTTAAAGAAATACGCCTTCGCTGTACTGTTATCTGAAATATTTAACCATCTTGAAGTTAATAATAATGACCTCGGTATGTAAAGTATTAAAATACTTTCTTTAAAATCATCATCATCACCAGCTCACTATACGTCCCACCGAGGGGCTCGCAGCCTACCCTAGTTAGGGTGACTAGGCCATAGCCGACCACGTTGACCAAGTGCCTTTATATATTAATACGTTATTAAGTCCAGAGATGCATTTAAGGTTAAGAAATGCTGTGATACCTATATCAAAATATGTCCATTGCGACCAAAATCAAAGTATAATTTTACAAAAAAGATAAAAAGAAATTTAAAGATTTTTTTTATTTATGTATCAGCACTCACCATTATGTATTTTTCGATAGGCTTCAGCACATTTATCCTTTAAATAGCCACAAATTAAAGGATTATCTAAACTTGAGCAGGAGTTATAAACTTTCACATCTTTATTATCGCTGAAAAACAAATTCTTTAATTTTCAAAATCATTGATTAAACGAGTCTAAAATAAAATCTTCACATTACCTGCATTTCGTTGCTGCGACTATTGCTAAATTCACAATATAATCTACAGGGATCATGTCGGTAATCGTTTCTCTTTGTCCATGGAATACTTTGTTAACCCCTCTGCCAAAGTCATATATTAATCCTGTAGCACCATTCCAGTTATCCACCCAGCCTGGAAGTGGTTCGCCGCATATCGCACCAACTAAAATTAAACCAAAATTTATGACATATATAAAATCACCTACAGCTGGGTGCTGGCCTCCCTTAAATTTTGCCACAGTGATCTATCCTCTACCGCCTTCCTCCAGTATACTAACCAGCAGCAGGATACATAGAGTTAAAAATCATTACCTACAGAAGGCCGTACAATAATCGTAGGCACATTTCCGTGTTCTTCTGCGACCAGCGACTCAGCCATTGCCTTTGAAAATGTATATGTGCTGAATTTGCCTTCTGCAAATTTGTAAATCAAATCATCAACACTTACTAAACTTTGTTATTTTATTATTAATATTTTAATAATAATTACTTAATATCTGTTTCATTTCCTTTGTGCTGTTGTTACTTTCAAGCGTTTTGTACACTTCTGAGAGCTTGTCAGGCGGTGGGTATACGATTTCCTCTATTATTTTTCTCTCAGCCTGGCTGTATGCTGTCGATACATATACAAATGCCTAAAAAAGTTAAAAATGTAATGAATACAGATACGACAACATGACGCTAGAATGCCTCCTTTCCAAGTAGACCAATGACTTTCAAAGGCTGAAAGTCACTGCATGCGAGAAGCAGAGGATCTTAGACTAACACTGGTTGATGAAAATATACGTTATGGTTAAGGTGCAGACCTCCATTTTATCCATTTGACGGCACAATTTCAAAACCTCTCGCGTTCCTTCCACATTTACTTTTAAAGTATGCTTCAATGGTTTGTGGAATCTGATTTCAGCGGCTGAATGAAATACCACGGATACCTAAAAATGCCACAATTACATTAAAATTGATGACGCAGCACGTTACATGTATTTAGAGCCTGGACTGTATACTTGGTTGGTGTAATAAAATAGCGGAGTTTGAGACGCTTATCCGGCTTGAAGGACCATGTTTATCTCTCTATTGGTTCTGGTATGTAAATAGACTGTGCTTCTCGGACTCCATGTATACCAACCAAATAATATAGTTCACGCGTCAAACATAAATTGTATAGAAAAGAACTCACGTTTTCTAAAATAGTTTTTTGGTCATCACTTTTTAGACCCAATCTTTCTAATTCCATATCACCTTCTATAGGAACAATTTTATCTAAATCTTTTGGTCTCGTTTCCTTCAATTTTGAAAAGAGCTGAAATATTAAGTTTGTTAGATCTAAAATTTAATTAAAAGTAGAAAATTGTTATTATACTTACTGGACTTTCTGTTATGTGTTGTAGTCTTTGTTCAGCTTTAATACCTTTCTTTTCTCGAAGTATAACGAAAATCTTATCTATTTCACTACAATTAAAGAGTAGTCTTTCTATAAAAACCTAAAAATGTATGATAAAGGTGGAATAAAGTAACTTTATGTATTAAAAAGGAAAAGTAAACAAACAGTAAAGTACCTTTCCTAAAAAGCCAGCTCCGCCAGTAATCAAAATTGATTTTCCTGCATAAAAATCGGCAATTGGTGTACAAGTGTTAGGATGTTCTGGCAACACATCTGTCCTATTACGAGAAAGACTGTGATTATTATGTAAACCAAAAGAGTCTCTATTATTAAGGTATTATTTACTAATTTGTTTCAGAATTTTAATAGTTTATTAATCTGTACTGATGTTATAAAGAGGAAAGATTTGTATTTTTGTATATATTGAAATAACTCAAGACCTACTTGGCCGATTTCTAAAATTCCTTCACTATCAGAAAGGTATGGTATCAGTAAGAAACTTGGAATAATTTTTTTTAATTCCACGGGCGAAGTCGCGAGCGACAGCTAGTTAAATATAAAATGATTATTCAGGATATAGAGTAAACTATTGATATTTCTACAGTAATATCGAAAACACATGGAATATTTTCTATAAGTCCTACAAGTCAATAAAATCCTGATTCAATATTAATACTGCTACAAAATAATTAAAACATTTACCTTGTTTTTGACGTTGTATGCATGTTAGAGAAACATTTAAGTTGTCCTTCAATTAATTTGAAATCAGCAGACACTGGGTAAAGTAAACGACGAAGCATTTTCAACGTTAGCGACTGCACAATGCATTAACACAGTCGTATAAAACCGACAGAATATAATTTACATTGAAATCGTCTTTTATATCATTTAAATGCTGGGAAGTCAAGTTATATTGTCTCTGAGACAAGCAGAACAATTGTTCAGTTTTTTTATGTAAAATAGATTACTAGATAAATTCAAATCAAACAAAGGAAGATTAAGTAATTTTTATTTAGCTAAGAATAACTCTGACATACACAAACAAGAGAGGCCGTAAGAGAGTCGGTGGCCCAGGGGATAAGCACCTGACTTTTAATCCACAGGTCTTAAGTTCGAATCCCGCCGTATACTAATAAGATTTTCGAATATCATATCTACATAATTTACCCGAAGTTCTTACGGTGAAGGAAAACAACGTGATGCATTATGCATATCGGAGAAGAAATTCAAAGATATGTGTCAAGTCAACCCACACTGGGCCAGCGTGGTTGACTATGGCCTAGTCACCCCTAACATAGAATAGGCACGGAGCCCCTGAGTGGGGAAGTATAGTGAGCAGGTGATAATGATTTACACAGACAATTTCAAGCATTTAATTTTGATGGAGTAAAAGCATGCCCGTGGTCATTCCCGTAGACCTTGACAAGAAAACGTTTCGAATCAGCAACGATTAGTGTGACAGTAGGACCCGCGCAGTCCCCCGACGCCCTCGCTACCGTGCTCTCATCGTCAGAATCTATTGTAATACAGCGCATCTCGTCGAAGGAAAGTCCAACCTGAAGATATGAAAATAAATATTTGTGCATATAACCCCTATGACACTCAGAAGAAGGCTGAAAATCGAATGACACCTCATTGGATTAAATCTGATCAGTCACTCATAGGAGCCAATGTCAAGTATAGTCACCGTCTTAAAATTAAAAATCGTATTACTTGCGCCAGTTATTGGCATGCAAGTATTCCAGCTACTGATGTGTCCCGCCTTAATAGATCCATCAAAGATATACTAATTGTTTTAATACGAAGTGTAAATTCGTTACCGTAACGTTGGTGATAAACCATCAACAACAATAACACTGTGAAAATTTATTTACCACAACTGGTTTTGTAAAACAAGTTTGATATTGTTATTATCATGATTTGAATGAAATAAACTGAATTTTTATTTTTACTTGTACAATATAATCTATTGTAAATCTTATGCTACAATGTTCTTAATTTAATCTTTATAATCGTGGCGTTAGTAAGAATCTAGATGGAATACAATTTTAAAGAAAACGGTTGCTAAAACGTTGCACACTCCTATACGGGACCTTTAGCGCTCACAGCTCGATAACAATTGAAAACCTAACCTGAACTTGAAGGAAATCTTCGTAATCTATATTAGTATCCACTTCGTTTGTTTCACTATATATTAGTTGACTTTCAGTGACATTTTGACATATCCCACACTTCCATAATCCTCCGGAAAACATTGGTTCTCCACCTAAAACATATATACCATTCTCGTAGAGTTTTCTAAATCTATAGTAAAAGCTGTTGCTCATGACTCCGTTCGCGTGAAACTAAAAAGCGATAAAAATATAGCCTATATTACTCACTGATTACATAGCTTTTTAATGATGTAAAAAATTTTGATATCGGCTCAATAGTTTTTGAGTTATTTCAATACATATAGAAATAACAGTGGTAGAGCCCGCTTTAACATCTTCTCACGAATGGGCCGGCTCGCCCGGTGTAATACCACGACCACACAGAAAACAGGCGTGAAGCGGAAGCAATTCCGCGTTTCGTCTGATGAGTGTGGTGCCGGAGGCCTAACTTTAGTCCCTTCCCTTTCCACCCTTTTCTTTAGAGGAAAGAATGGGAAGGAAAATTGGCCTTGACGGTGGAGGAGACGCATAGGATGGAGAAATGTCCTCTTAATGTACGTCTCCTCCTCCGTCAATGAAGGGTAGGCAACGCATCTGCAATTGCGGATGTTTATGGGTAGCGGTCGCTTCGCCATTTTCGGAATCTAGTGGCTGCTTGCTCGTTTGCCACCTTATGTTTTAAAAAAATATTGCATTTTTAAGACAAGGAGACGAAACGAATATTGTTCGTTACATTAAAGACAATCCAAGATGTTTTTTTGTTCAAGGTCAATGACACTGAACTCTATATCAACAAAGACGATAATTACTTGGACCTTTTTTGACTTTTTATAATTAAAGAACATACGAGTAAATGTCAAAGTATCAATGACCTCATAAAATATCAACAACACATCAGTTTTAGATTAAGTGCATTACCACAATGTTTTCAACCCGCTCGTTATCTTTGAAAAATAAAAATAGACAGAAAAATTATACTCACAAAGAAGTAATTATGAATTGACAGTAAGACATTCAAATATATATTTTTTTTCTTTTAATGGCTAATATTATAAAGAGGAAACATTTGGATTTTTTATGTATTGAAATAACTGAAAAACTATTGGGCCGATTTCAAATATTCTTTCACCATTAAAAATCTATGTTATCAGTAAATAACAAAAGCTATCTCATTTTTTTTAAATTCTCTTTCAATTTCACACGGATGAAGTTGCAAGCAACAGCTAGAAGAGAATGAAAAGGCTGACAAAGCAATCCTGTGTAAATATTTCGAAGTTAAAATCCACGGCTAATGCAACTCACCTTTTCATAGTTTAAATTAACTATAACCAACCTTTCCCCTACTCCTAAATATATAAAATTTGACAATAAAAATATACATACCTAAATTAATATTACTTTCAATATTAGGTTCGAAAAGTTCTGTTTCGTTTCCATTTAACAGGTAATATATGATAGGGTCGAAATCATCTTCGTTACTCTCTGGTACAAATCCACATATCACATTAAACAATAGAATCAAATTTAACAACAAAGAACTCATTTCGAACAATAATTCTAGATTATAAATAAACAATTATTAATGTTAATTCGTCTTTATTTAATGTATTTCACAGAATCTGAACCAACACTTTATTTCAACAAATGTTTACAGACTAAATCAAATCTTTTCAATTAGACTAAACAGCGCAGTGTGAACAAATTATCAACACGATATATCATTGACCCTTGAACTGATAACGCTTTTACGATACGTATATTTACACTTATGTATAAACTGTTTCCTAGTTTATATAATACTTAATTTTATGGTACTAATTCCAAAACTCAATACTGCTCGTAGTGTTATTCGATTATCGAAGATTTTAAGTTACATTTTCTCGTACTACAATTTTATATCATAATGAAAATTGTGATTAATTTCAACTGAGTTTTTATTTATTATACCTTGGTAATAAACCTGATCGTCGACTATTCGGTGAACCAAAAAAAATAAGATTTGTGTACAGATTGTTTTGTTATCTGTATTAACTATACTAATATTATAAAGAGAAAAATGTATTTTATGATGTCTGTATGTATTTGATTGACGCAAAAACTACTGGACCGATTTTAAAAATTCTTTCACCGTTATAAAGGTAATTTATCTGTGAGTAACATAAGCTCCTTTTGCATTATTTTTTTTCAATTTCATGCGGCCAAAGTCGCAAGCAACAGCTAGTTCTTAATTCTTTTTAAACCGGCCTAGTCTGGACGACACATCGTATTAATCTAAGAAAACCTACGGTTCTGTTCATAATGTACTCAGCCTATTGTTAACTCCTACATATTGCAAAGCCTACCTTTTGTGAGGCAGCTGTAACAAAGCAGCGGCGAATAAACCTCGCATTGTCTGCGTTTACCTTAACCTAGAATTAGAAACCTACATTTTAAAAAAGAAAAAAATAACACAGACATGTAAATAGTTTTTTTTTAATAAATTAATTAAGATGGAGATTAAATTATAGTCTTGTATAGCAGAGTACAATGCATTATGAAAAATCCAAGATGGCCGCCGTCACAAAATGGCTGACGTATTACATAACCACAATATGGGTATCAAATGAATTAGATTAAAAATTGAAAATTATTCTAATTTGTGAAAAACCAAGATGGCCGCCATGTTTATCTGTTAGCAAGTTATTTATAGTTAGTTGCAAATAAAAATGCAGTACAAAATTGTGATTAAAAAATATTAACAAGGAGTTTGTTGACACTGTTTGCTTGTTGAAAGTTTACTAGTTTCACGGCTTCGTTAGGTTTATTTTTGTAACGAGGTAATCCAACAAGCTACAGTTTTCTAGAATAAAAATACAGTTTATATTTGGTATGACATTTTATTTTTAAAAAATCTAAAACATAAACTTAAAAGATTATACAAAATAGTGTAAAGTACAACTTAAATAAATTAAAAACTCTGTATAAATATTAACAAATCATTTTCAATGTAAGTTTAAAAAAAACTCGAATTTTTAATGAATTTTTATTGCATATCAAATTACAAATATTGTCATAAACTATTGTTATTTATATTTTTAATTCAAATAAAAAAATCAAATTTAAAACAATACTAAATAAATAATCTTATGTTACCTTCAGTAATAATAATTAAGCAATGTTAGGATCATTCAAAACGCTCTTGCGTTTACAATACAATATTTAGTTATTAAATTATTGTTTGTACATAAATTTTCTTATACCTATAAAGTATATAGGTATATACTTAGACCAGGTGATAAGTGCGGGGTCGAAGGGGAATTCAAGACGATCATTCACCGAAAGGGAAGCGAACAGATCTCTCGTACGATCACATTTCATTTCCCAAGACCGTGAAGTGAAATACTGCAGAGTGTCGCGAACTAAAGATATTCTGTTTTGCATTTTCATGAATCTAATAAAAAAAAAACATACAGAGTTGAGTACCTCCTTCTTTTGGAAAGTCAAATAATAACAGTTATAAGTTGAAACTGGCTGCAAAGCTTTACATAAAGTTGTGTTAGTTTTATGTGAGGCAGAATAATCATAATTGATGCCTTCGAAGAACGGGTTAAAGGCAGACTAAAAAGGTCCCTCTTACATATCACAAGATTGGAAAAAATTAAATACTGGCTACATTTTTTTCTCTCTTAAATAATTATGTTTTATTTTTTTTATTTTTAAGGCATTGTCGAACAATGCCTTTCACTACGGCCATAACTTGCTGTAGTGAGAGATCTACACTTAATTACTTTTCGCATATTCTCGTAAAGATATAGACAAAATAAAGATATTTGAAACTGTAACAAACACATTAAATTTCTACAAATTGTTTAAAAGTTTACCTTGGTGGTTTTCCCGCTAATCGTAACCAACAATCAGCTACAAAAGCTGGTATCGTCTGCATAAATAATGTTATAATTTTCAACAGCCACTCAAACTGGGTGAATATCAATGACGGTTTCATTATCTCACCTGCAAAGAGAATAGTTATGTACAGTCGCGGAAATATGCGGTGTGGCTCTTTAGGAAAAATTGCCTTGTTTGTTGCAAGACAAACTCCTCTTCCCACAAATCACTAATTATATAGCAGGGAGTGGACACAAATAGATAATAATAAAGCGAAGCCATGTATTCATAATCGACTAATTTTCGTAAAGACGAAAGAATTTTTTTTAACAGTGATAGAGCTTTAACATCTTTGCACGAATGGGCAGGTTCGCTCGGTGTAATACCACGACCACACAGAAAACAGGCGTGAAGTGGAAGCAATACCGTGCTTCGTCTAATGAGTGTGGTGCCGGAGGCCTAATTTAAGTCCTTTTCCCTTTCCACCCTTTTCTTAAGAGGAAAGGATGGGAAGGAAAAGTGGATTTGTCGGTGGAGGAGACGCGTAGGAAGGGGAAATATCCTCTTTATGTGTGTCTTCTCCTCCGTCAATGAAGGGTAGGCAACGCATCTGCAATTGCGGATGTCTACGTGCAGCGGTCGCTTTCCATTTCGGTGGTTTCAGGTGGCCGTTTGCTCGTTTGCCACCTTATGTTATAAAAAAAAAACATTTATAAGCTGCAATGTATATGTTTTGTTCCGCGTCTCGATTCAAAATGTTCCTATATCCATCAGCCGCTTATTTAGTGTAGCAATCGTGCACTGGTATTGGAAATCGGACACGTGAAACCATACAAAAGCGAAAGCGCATGAGCCGCTTATATGAAATGTAGTTTTATCCAGTCTATTGTACAAACAGTACAATATACAATAATGTACTTATTTCATACAAAGAACTTACTGAAATTATTCTTGACGCTATCCTCAGTAATGAGTCCGGAGAGTTCTCCCATCGTCAATGGATTCTCAGCGCTGGTGCAGCAGTTGTACACTATCACTTCCTTTGATCTGAAATTATATTGAGTTTTATTACTTATCTAGCTATTACCCGCGACTTCGGCTACGCAATATCACGATAAAAAATGTAACCTATGCTCGTCTATGTCAGCTACCCTTCAGTGAAAGTTCGGTCGAAATCGGCCGAGCCGTTACGGAGATTACCGGAACAAACGCGGCTTGCGGATAGACAGACAGACAAAAATATTTTTAATGCTATTTTCTACAGAGGACGTACAACAAAAGGAAGTACCCCTTCATATGCGTTCCTTCTGGAATATGTAACTAATTGGAACTTTTATAAACGTACTTGTTAGATTTGACTCCAGCAGCAACCGTGAGATTCGATACATAATCGACTGGGATGAGATCTATAACATTGCTGCTTTTACTGATTATTATTCGATTGAGGCCTTTCGCTATAGTGGTCATAAGAGCTGTTGCGCCGAACCAGTTGTCCACCCAACCCATTACTGGATCGCTTACACTCGCGGATACTGAAATATATGGTATATTAAAAATATAATTCTTAATGATTGACTTTAGTTCTATTATCCCTTTTTATAACATAAGGTGGCAAACGAGCAAGCGGCAACCTGAATCCGCCAAAATGGCGAAGCAACCGCTGCCCGTAGACATCCGCAATTGCAGATGCGTTGCCTACACTTATACGACAGAGGAGGAGACGCACAAAAAGCGGATATTTATCTTTCCTATGCATCTCCTCCACCGTCAAATCCACTTTCCCTTCCCATCCTCTCCTTATAAGAAAAGGGTGGTAAAGAGAAAGGGACTTAAATTAGGCCTCCGGCACCACACTCAACGGACGAAACACGGAATTGCTTCCATTTCACGCCTGTCTTCTGTGTGGTCGTGGTATTACTGGGGGCGTGCCGGCCCTGCAGTGCTAAGACGTTAAAGCGGGCACTACCACTATAAAACCACCACTACCACCAAACCTACCCCTACCCTACCCTATCTATACTTATATTACAAATAGCAAAGATTTTTTATTTTTAGATTTTTGTATCTAACTCAAAAACTATTGGGACAAATACAAAAATTCTTTCACCATTAAAAAGATATGTCGTCATTAATCAACATAAGCCATGTTTTTATCGTTTTTAATTTCACGTGGACGGAATCGCGAGCAACAACTAGTTGTCTATAATCGCTGCTATATATTGGAAACTAGTTGTTGCCCGCGACTTCGGGCGCGCGAAAATAAAAAGTATAGCCTATGTTACTCAATGATAACGTAGTTTTTTAATGGCGCAAGAAAATTTTGTAACGGGCCCAGTACTTTTTGTGTTATTTCAATACATACAAAAATACCAATCTTTCCTCTTTATAATATTAGTATAGATAGGGTCTTTTATTAATTCGTGTTCAATCACTTCTGGTATTTTCAGAAGTATTTTCATCAATTTCACCCGTTAATTATAATCTCCAATTAAGAATTGGTTTTATTAACTTGTTGAAGAAATAATTGTTAACTTGTATAAGTAAAATATATTTAAGTAAAACTAAGAGATAATTAAGCTTACCAATAGATGGTCTGACAATAATAGTAGGAATGTTCCCGTGTTCTTCGTTCACAACAGATTCTGCAAGCGCTTTAGCAAATGTATAGGTATTAGGTCTGCCGCCTGAAAGACACATTATAGCATGTTAAAATATTTATGAACACAACAAGATGTATGTTTATTTTATGGTAAACTAGCTTTTGCTTGCGACTCCGTCTGCGTGGAATTAAGAAATAAACAAAAGTGAATATCCTATGTGTAGACTATCCTCTACATCTGTCAAATTTTATCCAGATCCCTTCAGCTGTTTAGGCTACAGACACTAACAAACATCCAACCATCCAAACTTTCGCATTTATAATATTACTAGCTTTCGCCCGCGACTCCGTCCGCTTGGAATTTAAAAAAAAAACAATAGTAAGTGGCCTATGTGGTCTTCCAGAATGTCCTCTACGTCTATACCAAATTTCATCGAAATCCGTTCAGCCGTTTAGGTTACAAACTCTAATAAACATCCGGATGGATGTTTGTTAGAGTTGGATGGATATCCATCCATCCATCCATTTAAACTTTCGCATTTATAATATTAGTATGATAGCAAGATTGTTTATAGCATCTAAGAATCAGTCGTATGGGAAAAAAGGATTATTAAAAATATAAAACCTTTGTTACATAAATAACTTTCTGTGTTAAATGAATAAAAATATAATTCCACAGAAATACAGTTCCTTCATTGTTGGTGCATGACTGTCGAAAATTACCTCTTATTAAAAAAAAAAAAACTAAAACAATCGAAGACATGTTTTTTTTACTTATTACTTACATAGTAATTTCTTAGATTGTTCTTCGTTAAGATCATCTTCTATCAACCTTTTGACTTCTTCAACGGTCGCGGGAGGTGGGTACACGACTTCTTCGAGAACTGTTTGATCTGTGTTGGAGAAAGCAGTCGATACGTACACGAACACCTGGAAACGTTGAAAAAATTATGAACAAACTAGAAGGCACCTTGTTGTAATTTCAGAAATTAGCATTTTATTCTCTTCTTTCAAAAGTCTAACTGTATGAATGTACCATTGATAAAATCTCTACTTTGCTAACACTTTTTACACAATTGATAACATTGCATTGTTAAATAACAAAGATGTTCCATTGTTTGCTTCACATCTTGCACTCTCATTCGCGCCTAAAATCCTCGTTGTTTTTTTTTTCTAATACATTTTTGTTTATGGTTTTCTTGGCGGCCAGTACGTTAATATTCATCCACAATATTTTTGAAAATCAATCAATTATAATTTTACAATTAACTTACTCACAAAAACCTGTTACTATTTAATATAAATATGCTTTTACTTTAAATTCATGAAATATTTACAACTGGTGTCAGCGCCATCTATTATCAATTATTGCTTAACAGAAATAACGTAGAATTACATTTGTTGTCAAAGGTCCCATGCGAAACCCTTGCCGCTATCTACGCTGGATTGTATTCAGTATATTAGTGATACATTTAAAGAAACATAACCTTTCTTTTCGTTACATACCTCAATGTTTTTCATAAGATGGCACAAATTCAAAACTCTTCTAGTTCCTTCGACGTTATCGTTTACAGCTACTTTCAACGGTTCATTGAACTTTATGTTCGCAGCGAAATGAAACACATGGGATACCTGGAAGTGGGTAAAATAGTATTTACTAAACAGATTAATGGAATATAGCAAAATTGCTTAATTTATTCACATAATTCTTTCTAATAATAATACTAGTAGTTTTCATAAACAAATTCCAGTGGAACTACATTTTATTAAATTATTTTAAAACATTTTAATGTACAAATAACCAAAAATAACATACATTTATAATTCAGATACGTTTTAATAGGAAAAAATATTGTCAATTGACTATATAAGGATAAAATCTATTACCTTTTTTATCAAGACTTTTTTATTTTCTTCGCTAATCCCAAGATTCGGTAAAGTGACATTCCCAGGTATGGCGATAATTTTCTTAAGATCTTCCGGTCTCTCCCTCTTTAGTCTTTGGAACATCTGTAAGAGATGGCACACACTTACGTATAAGCTATCGCACTACTGTTGCGATTGTCGATTGTTTCGTAGCCAACTCAACTGTTTTCTGCACAATTAAAAATCGAGTAGCGCGCGCAACTCCACATAAGAAAATAGAAATCAAAGCGCGACTAAACAGTTATGCGATAGTTTAGTCAAAGGCGGACTCTTAAGAGTAACAAGTTAGACACGGATACAAAAGTTAAAATCTTACTAATATTATAAATGCGAAAGTATAGATGGATGGATGGATGGATAGATGGATGTTTGTTAGAGTTTGTAGTATAAATGGCTGAACGGACCACGATGACATTTGGTATATATGTAGAGGATAGTCTGGAAGAACACATAGGCTACTCACTTTTGTTTTTTTTATTTCCACGCGGACGGAGTCGCGGGCGAAAGCTAGTATGTTCCAATTTGTTAACGGTAAATTTGTCCACTAACATAAAAGAATTAGGGCCCTGTCCCACCATTGTCTGATAGAGGCTGATAGCTTAAAGATGACGTCACTGTCAGACAAGGTAACAAAATCCGAAATTTCCATCATATTTTACACGTTTGATTGTTATCAGACAATTTACAATTTGGTGGGAAAGGCACTTAAAATAAAAGAATTTATATTAACACATCGTACATAGTTTTGTAAACGTTTTTACACAATGGAAACGCATACGAATACGATGAAGTCAATTTGAGCAAGGTAATTTATAGTTGGTAATTTATTGTTTTCATTTCCTTAAAATACGATTCGAATCACGGACTCACGTTTATTCAAGTTTACTAAGAGGTTAAGAATACAAACGACAGTGAATAGACTAGACTAGTTTGCATTCCAGTTTTTGAAACAGTAGACGATACTTGTCAGTAAAACTTAGTACTCTTTACTGGAATGACGTTGGCGAATACATATGCCTGAATCCAGCGCTAATAATCTGTTACATGCCAGTATGCCAATCACTGGCTTGTGTATAATAAATGTCATAGGTGTATAAAAAAAACAATCATAGTTTAAAACGTTGCTAAGGTAAAAGAGCGTTGGTAGCTCAGTGGTTTAAGCACTTGTAATTTAAGACAAGAATAAAGTAAGACTTGTAATTTACAGGTCTTGGGTTCGAATCCCGCCGTACCAATGTCATTTTCGATTTTTCATATGTACATAATTTACCCGACGTTCTTACGGTGAAGGAAAACATCGTGACGCCTGCACATATCGGCGAGGAGTTGCAAAGATAAGTGTGAAGTCAACCAGCAGTGCAGCGTGGTTGACTATGGCCTAGTCGCCCTTACTTAAGGTAGGCCCTGAGCCTCTCGGTGGGGACGTATACTGAGCTGGTGATGATGGTGATGGCTGGTTCAAAGTTGAATGAACGCGAAGTAGGGAACAAAGTAATAAAGAAAATAACATGTATTATGAGATTTAAAAGTATTTTGAATTTTAATCTTTTAATCTTGTTCTTATCTAAACTTAAGTTATAAACTTAACTGTATTACATTTAATTGCCTCGTGAGAAACATCGTATTTTATTCTTTTCGTATTTTTTTTTTTTGCATCGTGTTTTTTACGTTTTTGCTGAGAAACAAAAGAACAATAAATTTTAAAAAATTGTACGTACACAGTTATCTAAAATCAAAATTAAATCTAATCTGAATAATTTATTCTACTTTCTCTCTGCCTACCTTGTATCCTATATGACGGTGGGAACAGGAACATAAAAATTTCCAGAATCTAAGCAACAATTAATTTAATACGAATGTATTACTTACCGGAAGTTCTAACATTTGTTTGATCCGTTCAGAAATGTCCCATTTGTTCTTTTCTCTCATCAGAACATATATTTTATCAATGTTCGGACAACTGTACAATAACTTCTCCAGAAATACCTCAAAAGCAAAAAAAAATATTAGCACAAGCTACATATCTATAATAATATTATAAAGAGGAAATATTTGTATTTTCATGTATTGTAAAGATTTCAAATTTAACAAAAAGAGTATCGCTGAGCAACATATTAAACCACAAATTTTAAATTTCATGTGAACGAAGTCACGAGCAATAGCTAGTTATACACCCTATTTATAAGGGTCTCAATAATTACAAAAAACTTAATAGACACCTGAACGTTGATGAAATGAATTAAAAAATCTTTACTATTACTACAATAAAGATTAGACAAAAACAAATAACTTTTGACAATAACTTAAAGTTATACATGACAGAAAATTAAACATAGTTGTTATCTTAAGTATGAAAACAAAATTTTTAACAATTCCACTTAAATGATGTTATACGGTCCCCTAAATTTATGGGATGATAGGAGAAATGGTCTTGTTTTCTAAATTCCATGAACTACCAAACTAGGCGTACAAGATATAATATAGTGTGTATAATAAATATTAGAGTGGACTTCTATTCAATATTATTGGAATTACTCGTACAGGTGCTATCTCTTAGAGTACTGCTTATATTATTGTAACTGTTTACCTTCCCTAAGAATCCTGTCCCCCCTGTAACGAATACTGATTTTCCTGCGTACAGCTGGTCTATAGATTTGTAGGTATCTGCTTTCTCCGTCGCCATCGTCTGTTAACAAAATTTTAATTTATTATCATCATCATCATCATCATCACCAGCTCACTATACGTTCCCACCGAGGGGCTCGGAGCCTACCCTAAGTTAGGGGCGACTAGGCCACTAGCACTATCACTAGGGTTACTAGCATAGTACTATGAAAACTTTATTATTGCTGAACAAAGTATAACCATAACGAATATCAAGACTGTTGTGATCTGGTATCCATATCCGCAGACATTTGCTCGTAGCAAACTCTGAGTTGCCATAAATTTGGATGCTTATAATACTGGGATAGTTATTTAAGTCGCGATCTGACTGAAGACTGAAAGCACGCTATAGTAGCTCAGTTCTAACTGACCAATCGACCTGTTCAGTTAACACTATCAATTTAACATTGAGTACATTGTCGCCTCTATAAGTTGTCGCAATTTCCATGAAAAGAGGTACAAAGTGGTGATTTTAATTCATAAGAAATCTTAAATTAAATAATCGACGGATAAATCGATGTTTTATCCACCATTTTATACTATAAATTGCAATTATTTATGATGTATTTATCAACAATTTGCATACAAATAAACTGTAATAAATATCGGTTAGTACAACACTAAATTTCAATTAGTTAAATCGCAATTTTCATTACGTTGTCACGATTTAAAATAACTAAGTATTTTAAGATAACTAAACGATTATAAGTAATTACTAGTGCTTAAAAAATCGGTTTTCGTAATATCTATACAAGATTTGTATTTTTGTATGTGTTTAACTTGTTATCGACAACGCGGCAGCCAGAAAAACAAAATGAAAACTTTTTTCTTCTAACTAAAACATCTTTAGTCAAACTTATTTACATATTTTACAAATTACAAAACCAACCCGCGATCACATCTTTTACGCGCCTTTTTCATTATTTGTCACTACTTTTCTTTAATACTTAAACCAGGCAATGTCTCAGTGGCCAGTATTCAACCTCTTTGGCTGTATTCACACTTGACAACCAAAGAGGTTGTATTTTGCACTCAACAGTATTGAAATACTACTCAAAAACTACTAGCCAACTACGTTATCACTGTGTCATAGACTGTTTATTACAATCTTTATTTCCAAACGCACGAAGACGCGAGCAACAGCTAGTTTCAAATACACTAAGTAATAATCTCACCTTACAGAAAACTAATTATTTTTGATGATATTCTTTTATCTATAGTATCTCGTTAACACGTAGGCAGATGGCTTACACATTACAAATGAAGATTCTGTTGTTGCATTTCGGCTTTTGAACGTTTTTTTGAAGGCTATATACCTAATTCCACTAAATGCGCGCTCTTGTAATGAGTGAAGTGAAGTGAAGTAAAGTGACTATAAAAAGGTGGCTAGTCGTACTATCAGCTTAGTGAAAACAGCGCCTAACAGTATGAACATTTTAGTGCTAACGTTAGAGGTCATTTGCTAGCAAACTAAACTTCTAAAAATGGTGATTTATCATATGTAATTAACATTGCTGCAATATTTGAATATTAATTTCATTGCATATTGTAATTCAGATTTAAGATAACATTTTAGTTTTATAAAAAACTAGCTGTTGCCCGCGACTTCGTACGCGTGATATTAGAAAACATACGAACTATATAAATGACAGAAAGCTACGTAGCCCTCCGGAAACGGACTTTTCTTGGGGATGAACCTTATTCTCATGTGTACTTCAGACTTTGTTTTACATCTGTGCCAAATTTCAATAAGATATGTTGAACCATTGCAGAATGATCGAGTAAACATTAAAAAACTAAATTAATGAATCCCACGGGAACCGTAACTATTCCCGGGATAAAGAGTAGCCTATGTGTTCTTCAAGACTATGCTCTGAACCTGTGCCAAATTTCATGGAGATTCGTTCAGCCGTTTTGGCTACAAACGCTGACAATCATCCATCCATCGTAACTTTCGCATTTATAATATTTATATGATTATATGAAAATAAAATTTCTAGGTTATTGAATATATTAAAATGTTATACAACTAGTTTCCTTGCTTCATCCGCAAAATATTATAAAAACTTAATTTTTACTAACATTACGTACAATTTTTAATTGCAAATGTGAAAATTCAAATGTTTTAATTAAAAGGAAGGCCTTTATTATTACTGTAACCATGGCAATATCCTTTATTTTGATATGGACTTGAAGTTGTTGTCCCATTCTCTTTTACCATTTTTTCCAATTTCTTTATCCTCAAAACTAATAGCAAGACCATATATAGCCTGCAGCTGGATGGAAAGATGGATGTTTGTTAGAGTTTGTAGCCTAAACGGCTAAACCGATTTCGATGAAATTTGGTACAGATGTAGAGGATAGTCTGGAAGAACACGTAGGCTATTTAATTTCCTTTATTCCATATGGACAGATCCTCAAAGGTACCTCAAATCAAACTCAAACAAACAACCAACCATACATCTATACTTTTATAATATTAGTAATATTAAACATTAATAAAAAAAAACTTACATTTATAATCTGTTTAACGAAGATTTAGAACAAAAAATAAAAATGATCACGATTCTTCTCTAACACAAAGCATGCACACGAGAGGAGTAACTTAATCGATATGCGAACGCTTATGAAATCCTAACATATATATACATGCACAGTTTTGTCGAGCCAAATAAATGACAGTCTAAAATAAAATGACGTATAACAGTGACGTCATAACTACCGGTAAAAAGTCAATGATTTATTTAGTTTTTTTTCTAATTCATTTTATTCATCTAAAGTGATATAATAAAGCGTAAATACACACTTCTTTGTTGCCTAAGATGTCAGCAATTAAAGCATATTTTTGAATGATTCTTTCTTTAATGAAAAGCCCTACACTTACATCACACCTTAGTCTACATATTTTCACGCCAACAAACTTAGGGGGTAAATATTTTGGATAAAAACCCTAATGTGGGAAAGAGACCATAAGTTGCTGCCAACATTAAGAAAACAAATTGCCAAGGTTTGTCATGTCATGTCAGTTTGACATTTACTATTGATAATTTGATAAATATAAACAATGACATAAAATTTATAATAATTTCATGCGGATGAAGTCGCACAGGAAATGCTAGTTACAAGATAAAACTTCTGGAACATGTAATAAATAACATTGAAAATGTACAAAGATAAACGAATAAGATTAAATACGGTCCATTCAGATGTCTGGTTGCTTACACTTTTTTATATTAATTATATTACACTCTAGTGAGAATTATTAGTATTTTCGTCTTGTAAATAAAATTCATTTAAGTTTCTGTATAAAAATATATGTTTAACTGTTAAATAAATCTGAAGCACACTTTTTAATGAATTTTAAAACTTCTTACGTTTATTTTTGAAACCAACGGACGTTTTAAAAAAGTTATTATTAGAAAGATATCTTCTTTCTATTGTAAATAAAATGGCGGTTGATCACGGTTCAACCTGATTATTATGTTCGCAACTTGGTATGCTCTGTGTAGACCGCGGTCACGAAACTCGCTACGAGCGGAACTGCGTGATAGACGGAGCGGGGCACAGTGGATTAAAACCTCGACTTAGATCATTTTCATTTCCCGAACTCACTCTACAAGAATGAAATGGTTCTGTTTTCTTGGGACACTAACAGCGTTATAAATAAACGCAGTTAAGTTAAACTTAGGAATAAACTGAGTATAAAGAAAATTTGTACAAAAATTTGCTTTACCAAGGAGTAAGTTAACTATTTACGTTACTTTAATTTTGGGCGGTTTTCGAACTACCTTTAACGATTTGATACTGCTAATGGTTTGCTAAATTAATAAAATGAGTTTCCGAACTATGTAAGTTAAGTTTTACTCCATTGAAACATAGTTAAACCTAACAATAATAAATCAGTAGGTAATGATAAAAGACAGAAACTTCAGAAACCAAGCATAAGTGTTATAAGCATTATATTTATTGATATGAATCTAAATTAACCGTAGTTAATCTACATCTATCTTATTCGATTTAAGTTTTATCGGTCCCCTCGACGTCTTCCAAAGCGACCGTTTCGAAGTAATCATTTAACTAATTGCTATTAAAGTTAAGCGAATCAAACGCTAACATATTTTACTTAGTCAAAAATAAATGCAAATTATTTTAGTAACTTAAGGTTAACATATTCCATATTTCAAACTCTTTTAAGTCTTGTTATTCCACTGACTTATTGTTTTCTGCCTGTGTTAAATAAATCTTACGTACAGAATTAAAACAATAAAAGAAAAACAAAACAAGTGGTTAATGTGCTATTGAGTTGATTGCTAACAACCATCCATATGTCAAGAATTTATAATTTATAGCTGCTGCCCGCGACTTCGTCCGTGTGGTATTAGAAAACAGACGAACTATATAAATAACAAAAAGCTATGTATCCCTCGGGAACCGGACATTTCTCGGGGATGAACCTTATCCCATGTGTACTCTAGACTTTGTTTTATATCTGTGCCAAATTTCAATAAGCTGAACCGTTGCAGAATGATCGAGTAAACATTAAAAAACTAAATTAATGAATCCCACGGGAACCGTAACTATTCCCGGGATAAAAGAAGCCTAAGTGTTCTTCCAGACTATGCTCTACATCTATGTTAAATTTCATCGAGATCCGTTCAGCCGGTTAGGCTACAAACTCTAACAAACATCCATCCATCCATCGTAACTTTTGCATTTATAATATTTATATCTATATGATAGTAAGAAATGATAATGTGATATATACACAAATATGTATGACTGTTAACATTCGATTGTTTCTTGTACATTTATGTGCAATTTATTTTCTGTTTGATTAAATGTTCGATAAAAAGCAGGTCGTATTTACCATCCAACGCCTACGCCTATCGCCAGTGGAAATCCAATTTTAGAAGCAAATTGGATTCGACGCAAAGCCTTGTTACGAAGTTGTAGCTATTTTCAACTAAGGCCGTTAATTATTTAAAATTGATGTATTTTTATTTCTAAGTCTGTAGATATTTC